TCTCCTTTCAACGGTTCGCTTAGGGCAGCTGATTCGAAGATGGCCCTTTTCCCCACAGCCATAGCACCTTGGGCTGTATCCTTTGTTGCGGTCGCGAACTGTAGCGGCTGCAACCTCCCTGACGCGATGGGAACGATGATCCTGCCGCACGGCTTCTACCTCCAGTGCATGGGCCAAGGCGTCCTTAAGCGTCTCGTGGTGCCCGAGCCTCACAGCAGCTCTGACTTCCAGGTCACGGATGCCGTCGATAAATGTCTGCACCAGGTTCCCTTTAATGAGCGCAGGTACAGACCGGTAAGCTTTTCGCACCAGCTTCTCCACCTCTAGAGCCCACTGCTGCAGGTTTTCGTTGATGCGCTGCACACGATCTTTAAGCTGCGCACGAAAGACGTGTTCCAGGTGAGCGTCGCCATATCTCGCCTCCAATGCCTCAAGGAGTTGCTCATAAGTCACTTTCTTACCGAGAGCTTCCAACACAGTTAAGGCTTGGTCGCGCAGGCCTAGGGTGAGTGCAGTCATGGCTTGGCTTTTATTCCAGCCGTTCGCCTCCATGACGGCCTCGAACTGGATTTTGTAGGCCGACCAGGAAGAGGTCCCGTCGAACGGCGGCACTTTGAATCCACGTAGCGAAGGTGCTGCAGCTACTACGGGAGCTGTAGTTCCATCCCCAATTTTGAGGTCGTTTAGTGATTTCTTCATGTCAGCCACTACGTTGTCAACCCGATTGTTTACTTGGTCGATTCGGGTTTCAGCTTTCTCGATTCGGTTTTCAGCTTTCACGATTTGGGTTTCGGCTTCCGACAGACGGTTGTCATGCTGAGCAACCCTATCCTTCACCTCCTTTATCTCCTTCCCGAAGGTAGCGTGAAGGTCCTTCATGAGGAGCATCTGCTCTTCCAACCGACGGGCCTGTTCCTCCTGTCCGTCCCGCAGCTGCTCTTCCAATCGGCGTGCCTGTTCCGCCTGCTGGCGAGCCTGTTCCTCCTGCTGCTCTTTCAACAGACGGGCCTGTTCCGCCTGCTGCTCTTTCAACAGACGGGCCTGTTCCGCCTGCTGGCGAGCCTGTTCCTCCTGCTGCTCTTTCAACAGACGGGCCTGTTCCTCTCGTCCGCGTTGCAGCTGCTCCTGTAGCATGGCCATCAGAGCACCTAATTCAGGTGCTGCAGATGTAGGAGCTACTGACGGGCCCGCAGTCTCCGTGGCTAGCTGTTGGCCCTCCGACGTCTGCGGCGTTGCACCACCAAACCTCCTCTGGTCCGTCTCCTGCTGGCGTTGACTTCGGGTACGGACACCCTCCGTTTCCTCCTTAGGTAAAATCGGCATGATTTAATCCCACTTCTGACACCAATTGTTACGAGCTTGAGGTTCGTGACAATAAAAATTGCCGATAAAATTACCTAAATTAACACTTTAATTTACTTTACACAATTAAAGTTAAAACACTAATAATTTAAACACATTAATTCACTTAATTCCACTCCGAAGCTTCGCTTGTTTCGCCCAAATCAACACTGCCTCGATCGCATCTTGCAGCGCCTATATATTTGAATTAGCAAAGAAATATCCAGAATGTTCAAGTAAACACGCGGAAGGTATCGAGCGTTCGAGTTTCGACTAGGCGCTGTCAGTTGAGCGATTTGTGATGTCATTTTCTCAATGCTCCCCTCGCTCTCGTTCCTGACACTAGATGGCGCTAGTTGACTTATTCATGCAACACTATGATATAGTTGTAGCACGAATGGCTCGACCGGGGTAACTCCACAGAATAGCAGCGCAATATAGTAGCTTGATTCTGCTGTATCGTATGGTAAGTGTATATAACCGGAGACCTTTTTACTGGAAACGAGACATTCCATATTAGTCCTCAGAGGTGACAACGCATCTGCATTTTAATTATTAATCTAGAATAATTGTAGATGCCTATGAGCCACAGCACACAACATCCACTTACTATCAGGTGGACTGTTTTGCTTATTGATATGCTTGCTTGTCACTCTTATGCTATTAAAAAATTCCACATTCTTCAAGCTGTAGGTTCTTTTTTCGTAGCTCACTATATAAATTAATAAATTAAAGTTGTAGGTAACAGTTGTTAACTATGACCAGTGGTGCCAAGTTAGGCGATTTTTCGCCTTTTTGTCTATCTCGAGAGGTGTCGAGGCGACTAAAAATTGCGACTGGCGACTGGTCGCAATTTAGGCTACTTCGGAAAAAAACGAGGGCGATTTTTACCTATACTTAATTAATCTCTCTCTCTTTAAATATGTCTAATAAAAATGCGTATAATGAAATATGTATGTTTGTTACAACAAATATTATGTATAATATGTATGTTTTTTTTTACAGAGAAATATCAAAGAAAACTAGATTTAAAGGTATTTTATATTTTAATGAAATTAACATAGAGACTTGCCGCCACGCCGGGTAATCCCCTACCCTTCCCTATCTTCTACTATTCGATTGTTGGTTGATTTTATTTGTTTCACAGTGCCAGAAAAGTGGATTACATGAATTTCACAGCTACATAAGATATGATTAAACCGCACAATGTCCATAATATATATCCTAAATACCAAAAACTTGACCAATCTAATTCCTCAACCCTTGTTAGTGATCCCTCTAGCTCATCATTAAGAAACGATGATTATGGAGGCATTTTAGATAAGGTTCTATTATTAGAAAAGGATTTATAAATTGTGACCGTGGATGGAAGGAAAACGGGAGAGCTCCCACCCGGCAAAGCGTTAAGCCGGAGGAGCGGCCAACGCTCCATGTATTACTTTGGAGCTGTTCGCGGTAGGACTCTGATAACGTGATTTAGGCTTCGGTGCGTTTTCGTTTGTGGCGCGATGACAGTATCGCCACAAAATTATGTTCTTCTACTTTGCCAAAAAACATTTGTTTTATTTGACCTTTTCTTCCATACTTACAATAAATTTCATTATTTTATCCTGTTACAATTAAAAATAAGGTTGATTAAGGTAGATCAGGGTTTCGCCTACTCTAATGTCAGGTATGAAGCCTTTATAGGCCCTACATTAGAGTAGGCGAATTTAGGCTACTTTGCAGGAAAAAAATCAAGCGAATTTAGGCTACTTAGCGTCAAATTTTTGGCGACTGGGACTGGTCTAGACTTGGCTACACTGAATATGATGGTCAACATCTCAGTCCCTCCGTGACCACTGGTGCTACAAAGTACTCGTTACAAAGGTAATATTAAAATAACTACTTTCATTCAATGGATAATGGTAGCTGCTGTATGCTGTATTGTGTTAATGTATCAGTATTGAATAAAAGCCGATATCTTTTTCTATTTATATCGTTTTTACAAAATGTCATCATAATGTAAAAGTAAACATAAGGCCGGCAACATTTCCTACTTAAGTTACACAATCGCACAGCTTTTTATTGAATAAGGGTGACAAACGAGCACACAGTCCACCTCGTAAGTGGATGCTGTCCCCCATAGACATTACATTTTATCTTCAATTAAGAATCAGAATGCGTTGTCAGCTCTGAGGGATTAAGATGGAATGCTTTGTCTCCATTAAAAAGGGTCTCCGGCTCTCTACACTTACCATACGAAACGCAACAGTATTAGGCTGCTATTTTACGCTATCTTTCGAGAGCGTGGTCCTTACCCGGTCGGGCCGACCCATTCATGCTCGACCATTATGCTCGTATAGAGCATTATATAGTCTTAAACGATGGGGAATTGGTACATAATGAAACAAATTTTGTTGTGAACCATTTATATCAGTGTATTATTATGTTTTTAATTATACGAACAGAGTGACAACATTCAAGTATAAGTTATTATCCATATATACCAATACTGACTGATCGTATTTTATTGTAAATAATTTTAAATAAATATTTCATGTTCTTAAATCCGATAATATTTTAATGAAATGAGAATAAATATGTCAAGTTTTAGAATAAGATAATAGTGTTACTGACTGTGCCTAGTTTTGGTTCGGAAGACTTTTTATGTGGAAACATTACTCTTTTTAAAGGTCTTGCCTACTCATGACAAATTAGTCACATGAAAGCGAAATATTTTTATTGTCCTAGTAAAGTCTAAAGTGCTGCACTAGTGCTAAGTTGTGCTACATTCTCGTCCCTTCTGCTACATTTTGACTTCTTTCACTTCTTTCAGGGTCATATCACATTCAAAAAGTGCTTGAGAAAGCTTTGGACAATTATATCACTTCATTCTGAATATTTCATCATAATATTTATTTTCAATATTTATAGTTAAGAAACGAAATGTTAATTTTTATAATATAACATAAACTATTGTTCGCAAGATATTTTTAATTCACTTTTATAAAGCTAGAATTAGAAGTGTTATTTATTTAAGTACATCATATAATAATAATAATTTAATATGAGTTTAACCTTAATTTACACTGGCACACTCAAAACACTCATTGTATAGTTATGTAAGTAAATATTTAACAACGGTAAATTTACCATCTCAATACATTCATAAACATCAACTACAAATTTATGAAATTCTCGAACATCTTTTTTTGATCTATGTTTCTTAATTTAATACTGCTAGATGACATATTTTTTTTTAGATACAAATGGAAACATTGTATCTAGCAAAACTTACAATGCGCAATACATTATAAGTTTAAAATTACATATAACAACAAAAGCATAGGATTGCGCATAAATTTCATAAATGTTACATTATGTATTACTATGATTCATACGTGCCTATGGCTGGTTAGAATCGTAAGGACTTTTTCAAAAACATGATGATAATGATTTTGATTTACGATCAGTTTTATTTTGATTGGATTTGAAGAGTACATTTTTTTTGTTAAGAAAATATACAATTATCATAATTAATATTACGTAATTATGTATTAAAGGCTGGTTTCATATTCGAGAATTGACCAGCCAGAAAACTTTCATAATTTTAGTCTAGCATAGATCAACTCGTAGCATCAATAAGTTATCGAAACTCGATATTTTTGAATGAATATCTATCGTTGAAGTGCTCTTTGCCAACCGATGTTAAGTTTCAATGTCGCTGGGAGGCATGGGCTGGCTTCGCATTCTCCATCCAATTCATCGGCAAGGTTGTCGTGTAGTTCTCGGAGTGTCATCAAGGTAGACCGTGCTGCACGCTGGCAACTCATGTCACCTTCGCAAGTTGTATCCGCTTCAGATAGAAAAACTAAGTCGCATGTCGTCGGTGGAGCCTCGCCCTAAAATATGAATTAAATTATAATGGATTCAAGGAAACAGATATAAAATAAGTTAAAACACTATATAAAGTTCATACGCATAAGTAACAAATCTGATGTAAACTGCAATGTGGAAGGAAGAGTTGTCCTCGATCTCCGGCCAGTAAATCTACACCACGGCATCTTTGAATAATTTTTGCAAGAACTGGACATGGTCCTGTGGAACTAACTGTAATAGAAATAGACATACATAAGTTAACATAGCAGTTGTCACACTTTTAAATATTTAAATTTAATGTAATTTAAATTACCAGTTGACACCATAGGTGTACGGTGTCGTCCACTACCACCCATGTAACCTTCAGATAGCTGTTCTTCAATTTTACCGTTTAAATAATGACCGGCGCCTTGTTCATCTTCAAAGTCATCATTTTTATCGCCCTCTTTAATGTAATTAGATACATCTTTGGTTGTTGGAATGGCTCTTTCCTTTTTTTCTGCAACCCTTTTAGGTTTTAATTCTTCATTATCAGTATCTAACTTCATATTAATCGCTTCTTCTGTTCGTAGATTTTGTTTAAATTCTTTTAACGCCTTTCTCATCTTTTCTAGGCTGTATGCTGCAGACAGACGTGACAATAATTTTTCCTTTATTTCTTGTTCTTCTTTTGAATCTAGTTTTTCACCATCTTTAGTAATGTGTATAGCGTCATTAACAATCAGGCCTTCCATATTCCTTAAGTTCTTGTCAATATAATCGAGATTTGAATTGGTGTCGTTATCTGAAGCATTGTTTCGTTTATTATTATTCCGAAATGCAATAGTTTGAATATGTTTTATCTTGATTTTTCCCCCTGGAATTGGATTTGGTAGTATAAAATTTCTTTTTACGTCAACATGTTTTTGTAAATTGTTAACTGGGTTAATAACTTCCTTATTAAAAGTGTGATAATACTGTGTTTTCAACTTGTCTTGATTCAAATCATTTACAAATGATTCTGAATTCTTAAGCCGTTTATCAATTCCAAAGTAATCGGACCAGTCTATAGACTTCTTTTTAAGAGTAATTGGTTTTTCAGTTTCATCTTGATCAGAATGAGAATGGTCATGAATGTGTTTCTGTTCATGATCGTGATCATAGCTATGTTGGGAGTGCTCATCGTCATGAATATGAATGTGATCTTTTGAGTGATCGTGGTCATTATGTTCAAGGGTGTGATCATGAGCGTGGTCCTGATCGTGGGCATGATCGATGTGATGATCATGGTCAGCGTCTTGTTCTATTTTTTCTCCAGACAACCCTGGGTGATGAATTGCGCCGCCGCGGTGTTCATGTCTGTCTTTATCAAGTTGCGTATTGTTAAATTCAAAAGTGCTATTTTGGGCTAAAATCGTTAAGTTTGGTGGTAACATTTCATGCGACGCTTTATCATGATCACTGCTTCTTTTTACTGGAGTTTTAATAAAACCGGAATCGCCTTCTCCGAATATTTTTGACAAATCTTTTAAAACCTTCGGGTCTGTTCCTAAATTGCTTCTTCGGTTTTTAGATATCTCTCGTTTATTTTGTTCCAGTGTAAAACTTTTTTTCTGAGAGCTGTAATAAGGGCCACTGCTACGTTTAGAAACTGGAAAACGTTTTTCAATCGCTTCATATTGGTCCTCGTCTATTATACCCGATAAGCCATCATCATCCATTGGTTGAAAAGACATAATATGTGCGTGGGTATCATCTTTATCGGTATCAGCTAGTTTATATGCATTGTAATTATCATCATTTTCTTCAAAATCAGAATTACGTTTTTTCTTAAAAGCAATTGGACCCCAATTATTTGGATATCTCTTTTTGACATTTTTTTCTTTATAAAGTTTAACAACACCATGAGGAGTATCTATATTATTACTGTGTAATTTATTTTTATTATGCTTGTATTTTGACCATAGCTGATCTAAAAGTTGCACGTAATCAGCATCATTTTCTGTTCGTTCTTGCATAAAATCGTTTCTGTCACCAAGTTCATTGCTGTCCGTGAATATATCTCGAAGTGTGTCACTATCAGTGTGTTGACTTCTTTCACGAAATGCAGATTCTTTTTTCGAGGCATAGTCAGGTGAGTCAAAATAGGCGTTCTTCTTCTTGATTATTTTATATTCGTAATCTTCTAGTGGTCTCTGATCCTCACTTAAAAGCTTGACGACGTATTTTGGTGTGGGTTCATCCTCATTTTCTTCGACATCAACACCATAATCGGGGTCTGAAATTATAAAAAATGTTACTATTACATATTTATAGCTAATTATATATTTTTTATTTCAATTTATAATTAAATTTCCAAAATGATCATAGTAGTATCATTATTAGTAGAATTGCCTACGTATTCCAATCTTCCGTAGAGACTTTTGTCACTATATCAAATAAATAGGCGTAAGAAAGCAAACCTGGGTAAGTCTGTGGAGGAACAAATTCGTATACTGCATCGTAATCAGGTTGCGGTACGATGGAACCGTGGTTACGGCCACGTTGCCGCCGTTGAAGAGCCTCTAGTGCGCCACGTAAGGATGAACCTCGGTTGCCACGTTCACTGCTAGCGCACGCGATTGTTAGCGCGGCAAGCACCAACACCCATCGTATTGTCATGGTGTAAAGTCTAAAGTATTAAAAGGTAAATTAAATATTTCTTGATATAAGTAAAAAAAGTTACAACATAATAAAACAGATACCATAATCAATACATATTTGTAACAGCGTGGTAAGAGGTTATATAAAGTGAGCTTAGTGTTCAGATTACTCAAAAGCATTCGGAATTTGCTGATGCTGTAAAAATTGGTCGGATGAACATTGTCGTCAACATCGTCAACGTCCATAATTGGCACTTAAGAGTATACTCCGAAAATTAATCGTAGTTTTAGGGGCGTGGCCTAGCTCTTTGTCGGTGAAGCTCACGGATGTCTGAGGGAGTGGCAAAATGACAGTGATGCAATACACTTCAAGTACGCAAATTATGCAGCTATGCCGAGTACGCACTCGGAGAAATAAATGAAGTAAGCGCCACACAAATTTTAATTTTTTTAAGAAAACTTCGTTATGGACTAAAAACGGTTTACGAGAACTTACATATAATTATTTACTATAGATTTATACGTCAGTGCGTAGCGTAAATTTTTGGTTTGGAATAGCTTCTCTAGTACGAAGTACAAACATACAGTATCAAATCTTTATCAAATCTTAATCAAATCAAAACATTTTTATAGTGGCGATAGATGGAGCTACTTTGAATGTCCACTGTTAGGAGCTTGACGGCATATCAGCAAAATATGTTGTATACGTGATTTCCCATTTGTTTTATGATATAATTTATTTTTTCCATATTTATTTGATTTAAGAAACATAAAATTCATTTGCGTTATATTTAATACGTGACGCGTTATTAAAAATATATTAATATTTCCAAATTTAACTTTTTGTGGGTTGACACATTATTGCTTATCAGCCACCATATTGATGTAACTTAAGTTATTCTAAGGGCGCCTTCTTCTTAACTTCTTTAGAACTGTTCTGATTTGAAACTTGATCAAACGAAAAAGCGACACTAAAAAGAGACAAACATGGATGGAGAGCTGGCACTGGGGAGCCCCAGCCCTGAGATGGGAACAGTATTCCATATGCGACTGAATCTGTGCCTTGTAAAGTTGCAGGAAGTGTGCCGGTATAAAATGCTGTCCCCTCTGCTGAGCACGCCAAGCTTTTTAGAGGCCAATTTTGCCTTATCTTCAAAGTGACCACGAAACTGCATTTCATTCGATATGTCGACGCAAGGATTTCGAAACTGGCTGAGGCAACAAGAGGAGTGCCTTGAAACTGAGGAGATACGACAAGGGGTTCTTTTTAGCGGTTAACATGCAAAGTTGTGCCTTCTGAGGGTTAAACTGGACTAGATTTAGTCGCCCCCAATCCGAGACTTTGTTCAGCAAAGACTCGACTTTACACAAGTTTCTTTCGGTACTCGATGACGGAATCCAGAGAAATATGGGCACGGCCGGTGTAGAAAGCATCACCTGTGCTGTCATCTGCATTTTCCATTCAAAACAGTAGCATTCATATGCTCCTGATTTGCAACATATCATTGACATGCAGAAGAAACAGCGTTGGTGATAGCACGCAGCCTTGTGGAACACCAGCATTAATAGGCTTATAATGGAAGCTTGTACCGTCTACAACAACCTTGATGCTCCGATCTGCAAGAAATCTAGTGATTCAATTGCACAATTTCTCGGGTAGCCCACAGGAAGGGAGCTTCGAAAGAAGCGCTTTGTGCCAAACCCGATCGAAGGCCCTCGCAATGTCCAAACGGCTTATGCCTCTCTCGTGGACTCTACTGCCTCCGGCCATCTATGAGTCGGGTAGACCAGGAGATCACCAGTTGATCGATCATCTGCATTTTCCATTCAAAACAGTAGCATTCATATGCTACTGATTTGCAACATATCATTGACAGCCTTGTGGAACACCAGCATTAATAGGCTTATAATGGAAGCTTGCACCGTCTACAACAACCTTGATGCTCCGATCTGCAAGAAAGCTAGTGATTCAATTGCACAATTTCTCGGGTAGCCCACAGGAAGGGAGCTTCGAAAGAAGCGCTTTGTGCCAAACCCGATCGAAGGCCCCCGCAGTGTCCAAACGGCTTATGCCTCTCTCGTGGACTCTACTGCCTCCGGCCATCTATGAGTCGGGTAGACCAGGAGATCACCAGTTGATCGATCACGGCCAAACCATGGCTGAGATTTGCCTCCGATGGGCAACACAGAGGAAGGAATAAAAAGTTCCATACCCTGAAGTACCACATCAGTGACAGAATCATCAACAACGTTGGGATCGTCAGATGAGAAGCAGACCCGCCCCCAAGGGTAGGATGCAAAGAAAGACCGTACCCTATCCCAATCGGCTGACCTATAGTGCCAAACACGGTGGCAGCATGCAGAATGCAAAGGCGATTTCAGCGTGAGTGGCATCACACTCTGTACAAGACAATGGTCCTAGGAGCCTAAAATGGCGTCGACGGAAATCTGATATCCGTCCGGATGAGAAGTCATCAGAAGATCCAACAGGGAATTTGCATGATCCTCCACATCTGGAATCCGCGTAGGCGAAGTAACCAGTTGTGTCAGACCACATGCCGAGGCAAAATCATGAACAGATCTCCCCGCATGATCGGTTAACCGTGAACCAAGCCATTCGGCATGGTGGACGTTAAAATCGCCGAGGATCATGGTCTCTGCAGAGGGGATTTGCTGTAGCAACGAATCTGTAGCCATTTGGACGTGGTCGAAGAGTCGGTCTGTTTCTGCCTTACCGTTACCGCCTATAGAGGCACCCGTAGACGCGCGAATGGTCGTCGCTGTCTGTGCTTAGCCAAAGGATGGACAGGTCCGAAGGTAGGAAAAATACCAAGCATCAGCCGGAGAGGACACCTGCGTCTCGGTCAGAAGGAGCAGACCCGGCCTCGGCGTCTCGAGATGGTAGTGGACGGCGTTTAGTTTAGAGTGAAGTCCCCCTGATATTGCAGAAATTCACCGACAGCGTGGCAGAGGTCGTCTTGGTCTTGTTGCTTGCCCCGAGCAGTTGTTGTCTTGAGCGGAATTTATATCCCCCCCCTCCCAGAATACGTGGGGCAGCCTAAGCACCCACGCTCAGGAGTTGAGTAACTCGTGGATGCTAAGCGACAGATTCTCCGGGGGTGCTGGTACCCTCCTGGGGCAGATCTTCACTTAATTCCGCTAGCATATTATGGGGGGGGGGCGAATTGGGCCTCCGGATACCTACATTCACCAGACGAAACGCAGAAGCTGAGCCCGATATGTGAATGGAGCCAGGAAAAAATGAGCACTTGAAAGCATCAAGTGACGCAGCCTCACCAAATCGCGAAGGATAGTCGAGTGGCATCGCATCGCCAATCGCCATACCAACACTCCTCTTCCCTGACGAATACAGCGGTACAGGGACAGGAATCTCCTCTAGCAGCAGCGCAGCCCACTAACACACATCCAACGTGGCTTGACATCATCAGGCGATGCAGTTCTCATGTCTAATAAAACAGTCGTCTGTGAAATGTGCAGAACAAATATGATCGTTTTGTTTCGGACGCCAATTCACAATTAATTTTAGTCTAGGTTCAGTTGGAAACCTGTTAATTAATAAACTTTTGATAATAATCTGTTGTTGGCGACTTTGTTTGTTAACAGATATGGGTAGTAAAGAACAGCGATAAGTATTATAGACAAGGAACTCGACAACTCTATTGAATTTTATTGTTTATCAAAACTCAGTAATATACAGCCAAACATGTTGGTATATATGGTATTAAGATTAGTAACAAATTTTTAGGTATTTATATTATCAAATAGTTTTAATTTGTTTAATATTGGCTGCAAATTCACTTACTTGTGAAATGTTGTACCACTTCCCTTTTGGTAACGAGTTTTACAGATTAAACACACTACCATTACTATTAAAAATAATTCTTATTATGTAACTAATATTATACACAATCAAATAACATAAAATACTTTCGTTTTTTAGTTTAAAAGTTCAAAATACAGATTTTTTAAATAAGACAACAGACTTTGGCATACGACGCGACGTCTTGGAAACTATAATTGACATACAATTTTAGTTTCCAAGACGACCATTTCGGAGCTCCAAATTGGCACAGACGTTTTGTATGGTATAGCTTGCATGTGCAGCGTACTTGTATATATAGAGGTCAGTGGTAGCAAGGGTAAATGTGCAAGACATTTTGTACTGCGAACGCCAATGTGTACCAGTGACGATTATGAAAAAAAAATCTATCCTACAAAGTTAGATACCCATGTCCAGTGGTGAATGTATACGAGTAAGTTCCATAGCAGGACAAGGAAAAGTTTGACGTGCTTTTCACATGTTCTCGTTCCACGAAATCACAGATTACCCCCTAAGGATTACCCTTAGGGGGTAATCTGTGCTTGAAATATTTCCAACACTCTTAATTCATAGTTTATTTTGCGAGCACGTGGTAAATTGTAATTTAAAATTGCAATTGATAATTATTTAAAGCCGGAGGAATCGATGATGGTTTTCATACCATGGAATTTTACCTTCTTCTTGTTCTTCTTTATTAGCCCTTAAAAGTCCATTGCTGGACATGGAGTCACGATGTATAAATAATATTGCAATATTGTGTACAATGACCAGAAAAAATTATTACTTTTGATGTATACTCAGGTAGGTACTTAGTATGGCGGCAAGCGGTAACAATGGAACACACTCATTCGGTTCACAAAGGATCCGTTAACCTTAAAATAAATTTTAATTAAGTAGGTACATACGTTACATACTTCAATTATATTTATTTTCTTTATTTTATTTTTATATATATCATATGAGTATAAAGAATATTACGTACTATCATATTAATATTTTAAAAAACATTTTTTAACTTCCCTCTAAAAAAATTGAAAATTTCCAAAAATTGGGAAGTTATTGGTTCCAGGAAGCTATTTTGACAAATTTCACGTGGACGTCCTTACGGATGTATGTATGTATTTATGTATGTAGTTATGTATGTATGTATGAATGTATGTATGTTGTATGTATGTATGTATGTATTTATGTTGTCTGTATGTATGTATGTATGTATGTACGTATGTGTGTACGTATGTATATGTGTATGTATGTGTGTACGTATGTATGTATGTATGTGTGTGTATGTGTGTGTATGTATGTGTGTGTATGTATGTATGTGTGTATGTATGTGTATGTGTGCGTGTATGTACGTGTATGTGTGTGTGTATGTATGTTTATGTGTGTGTATGTATGCGTGTGTATGTATGTGTATGTGTGTGTATGTGTATGTATGTGTATGTGTGTGTGTATGTGTGTGTGTGTGTAGGTGTGTGTGTGTATGTGTGTATGTGTATGTGCATCGGTTATCTTTTGCGAGGATTTGTGGTTTATCAAATCTAATGTAACGGTGGGGACGATCTTGAACATGTTCGCAGACTGCAGACTTCCCGGAGCGTCGATGCTTCACTCGATTCCTACCAAGGATGATACGCGAGACTATTGAAATTAAAAAACATCTAAATTTCAATAGAGAAGATGGATGGGTGCTGCCAGCTGCTTGGGATCCTATAATTTACAAAATTAAACCACCCAAGCATACCACTGCAAGACTTCATGATTACTATAAGCTCATTTTGCGTAAATCGGACCAAAACTTAATATTCAAAAACTGAAGGTAGCCGTACTAACTGTGACATTGGGACGTCAAACATCTCAGCCCCACCCCCCCTGTGACCACGGGTGCTGTAAAGCACCCGAAACGTCGGGATGATAAAAATAAATTAAAGTTGAATTAAACGCGATAAAATCAGAAAATAATAGTTTTATTTAATGTGTAGTGTTCGCGTAAATTTAAGAAATCATTATAGGTATTCATTTGCAATATTTAATAGACTTTCCATTACCATGTATAATAAATGATATATTATTATCTTTTAATACTGCTTCGTTGATCTAGTGGTCGTAAACACGACTGCTGACCATAAGGTCTTGGGTTCGAATCCTGGGAGCCTGGGACAGCCCAACAATTAGTTCCCTCGGAAAGTACGAAATACCCCTGGTCTAGCTCCTGATCTCTTTCCGGTCGTGTTGGATTGCCGTCCCAACAGGCTCGTGCACTAAAATCCTGTCCTGCGCATATGGCTTATTTCCGTTGAGACACGCTGCCGTAACCGAAATTCGGTTGAGAGAATACTATATTATATTATTAAATTTAAGGTTCTGTGCTGACCGCCTCGTTGGTCTAGTGGTTGTAGTAGCGACTGCTGATCATGAGGTCCTGGGTTCGAATCCCGGGTCGGGCCAAAAAAATTATTATTGATTTTTTCCGTCAAGAAATTCTCAGTAGTTGCCTGGAGTCATGAAGTTGGCGGTGTCTTACCCCCGTGCCTCAGGAAGTACGTAAAGCCGTTGGTCCTGCGCCTGATCGCTCTCCGGTCGTGTCGGTTTACCGTCCCATCGGATTATGAGAGTATAGAGAGTGCACCTGTGCTTGCGCTTGGGCACTATGATCCTGAACTGCGCCGATGGCTAGCCTCCATTGAGGCAGGCCGCCGTAACCGAAATTCGGTCTGGAGGACATTATTATTAAAAAGTTACGGCCTATAAATGTCCCACTACTTGGCACAGGCTTCCTCTCATTCCCGAGAGGGTTTAGGCCAAGGAAGTGTTCGCCGCGCTGCCCCAATGCGTATATTCGCCACCTTAAAATGTCTTCGTTTGTTTTTTCTCAGACATGCAGGTTTTTCTTGCGATGTTTTCCTTCACCGCCAAGCACGTGACAAATCAGCACTTAAAATTGCAATTGACAATTTCAATGGTTCCGGCGAGGATCAAACCTGGGTTGCTCGCGTGCTGTAAAATTTACAGCGAGCGCTAACCATCTATTTAACGGCTCGCAATATTATATTATTATGGGATATTAATATAGTATTCTCATCTGGTCGGCTGGATAAATATTAAAAGAAAATTACAAATATACATTAAATATAGTAAAATAAAAAATATTATTATTATTCAATATTTTTTCTTCAAATTTTGCTATGTATTTGTTTAATATGAATAGAAGCAGCCGAGAAAGTAATTGTGTATTGATTAAACCGCATTTTATAAGACTTTCATTAAATATAATAACGTATTGCATAAGCAACAATAAGATGGAAAGAGGTAACCGTCTCAGAATACCGAAGTAGTTTGGAAGAGTATGTAATAGTTAGGTCTTGACAGTAGTAAACAAGCAGCTACTTACTATAAATTTTATGGCTGCATATTTGCAATTAAATATTTTGGAAAACGTTAATAATAGCTTGCAAGAAATTCCTTGCATATAATTTACAATGTCTCTCCCACAGTTAGGTTTAGTAAACCTACTTTGTTACGCATGTATGCGTAGGTGTATGGATGTGAACGAGGCGAGAGAGGTGTGTCAGGATCGTGCCAAATGGAAGTCTGTAGTCTCTGCCTACCCCTCTGGGTGACAGACGTGAGTGTTTTATGTATGTATGTACTTTGTTGCATACCTAATAACATTATGTTATTACTTTAGTTTAAATTTCGGTCGTTCTGGCAGTCCGATATGAAATTATATCATATATTATTGTCAAGTAATGTATATGTATATAACAAAAATACCTAGTAATCAAAGATCATCGATGAACCTTTTCCGTTTTGTAGAAAAAGGTGGTTTATGAAAAGTCATTTTCACGAAAGAATTCCTTAGACGCGGCTCGGCGCGGCGCGGGGTCACGGTCTTCGTAAATACTTTTCATATTAATTCGCATATTTTCCACGGGATTTCTTTATTGGGACAGACTCTATAATAAACCTGCTAATAATTTATTATTCTTTTTAATGCACCAACACACAACAAATTTTTTTTAAATAACATGATGAAACAACTTTAACGTTGAGGTTTTTTAGTAAGGTCATGCTTGCACGTATAGCTTGAGTTTTCGTTATTAAGGATGCCAATCGACAGAGTGAACAATTAGGTCATATTTTTTTTATTTGACCTTATGCATACAAAGTGACCTTTGCTAAAATTATAACGCACAGAATATGTATAACTAAAAAAAAGACTTAAAGCACTTTAATCCTTATACTAGGCTAATACTAGGCAGGTACTACTTACCTTAACGCATTTATCACGGTGACACTGAACAAAACACTGTCTAAAAGCAGACGACGCGCGATCGCGTCAGGGTCTGGATAACAACTGGGATACTGAAAGCAAACGAAACTTGCGCGAGGGGTGATGCGCACAGTGTAGCCCGAATGTGGAGCTCGCTGGGGTGGTTTTCAGCTTGTCGGCAACGGAACCTGGTATGAATGATACGGGTGGAGCTATCGGGGAGTCATGGAGTGGGAGGGGGGTTACATAACGACCGGGATCGATACTGTGGGCGGCAGAGAAAACTAAGGCTTTGTCCATGCTGTTTCCCCTACCGTTTTATTTTGAAACTGTTTGGGTTCACTTCATTTTATTGTATTAGCAATGTTGACCTATACGGGTGTTGTTCCACACGATATGATACAATAAATGTGTGTGTGTGTGTTTGTTTGTATATAGGACTATGTGTATGTTTGCATATTATCGTAAGCAACAGAAATGTATTTGATATAATTTGTTAAGTCATAATATTATTGTACTGTATCGATGGAGTATGTACCATACTTCGGAATATCATACAGTGAAACTCTGGCAAGCCAGACTACGGATTTAACGAAGCTGACTATTGATAACGCCAGTTAAACCTATAAAAATTAATTATATCCACACCATCTGGACGCTTGGTGGTCCAACATGTACGATGTACTAAGAGTTTTGTTCCTTGCACCACTTCTTTGTGACAATTTTTCCGGACCGATACGACTTAAGAAAATTTAAGAAACAAGATTACTCCTTTTTTAAATGTTGGCAATGCATATGAAATTCATACCCAGGTGTTGTTTATGGGCAGCGGTCGATACTTATCATCATTACGTTTGCCCTCTCTTCTATAAAAAAAAAAATCAACGTAAAATTACGTGACTGTCACGAACTTTGAGATACTACGTCATTCCCATTCATTTTTAGACTATGGCTAACTACGCAATGCTTTCTATTCTTTGTTTTTGAAGCAATTTAGATATAATTTGTTGAAGATGTCCCTATTTAATTTTTAAATGTTAAAGCGAAAAACGCACACATGATGGTAAGTAGGCTAAGATAGAGTGTTTCACAACCTGTAATTATATTCGTTTTTCAAACATTTCAAACTGAAACAGAGCAGCAGATACATTGCTGTTTCACTTCATTTAGATGGAGCAAAGAACCCTCGTCCATCTTTCTATAAAGTTTCGTGTACCATCTGACTAAGTTCTTTGTTAAAAGTTTGTTTCGTCGACTTCTCTATAAAATGTACAGTAAATCTTGATTGACAGTGATGAAATAGGTGACACCACCATTAATAAATTACTGTTATAAAACTATAGAACCGATAACCGATGGGGAGGAAAGGTTCTCGAGTGGCAGTCTCGTATCGGTAAGACATGTGATAAGTCGATGGGTGCAGGTGGCTCAGGAACGTGCTTTGAGGTTTTCCTTGGCCAATGTTCAGCAGTGGAATTGTGAAGGGCTGTAATGATGATGATGATGATGATCGTATGACTTGAATTAGCTACCTTGTTAGTGTGTTATAACTTCGACAGTTTCCATTTAGAGGTAGATGAGTTTGGTTTTTCAGTATTTTCAATAAACAAAACAATGAAGTTTTTACAGTTAAGTTTAAATTAGTTCAATAGGGGTGTCTGTTTTGATTACGCTTAAAAAGTATTTCAAATTACCAAGAAATAGTTTCAATATGGTTACGTAGTAAGTAATATTATTTATTCCGTGGTATGGTTTTTTATAGGATAGGGTGACAAACGAGCACACAGTCCACATGATGGTAAGCGGTTGCTGTGGCCCATAGACATCTACATCTATCCTCAGGTACGAATCTAAATGCAGATGCGTTGTCACTTGTCACCCGTGAAGACTAAGATGGAATGCCTCGTTTACAGCAAAAAGAGTCTCCGGTTCTCTACACTCACCATACGAAACACATCTGCGTTAAGCTGCTATTTTACGCTGGTATTCTGTGGTGCTTCCCCGGTTGAGACAACCCATTAGTACTAAACCTATACTAATGATATAGCTGCAGCATGACTCTCTACCGCATAGGTTGTTTTCAAGTAAGCATAGCTTGCGTAGAATTTAATAATAATTAATAGCCTTTAAGCTAAAGTGGCAATGGGACGACCATGTAGTGCGGTTTTTTTTGTTTTGTTGGAGTTTATAATTTTCCCTTCGTTAAAGAAGGTATTAGATGTCTGTTATTTAGTTTCCTGACATCCATCAATCATATTACTATTCAGATACGATATTATGTTCACATCATTCAGTGTGGACGCTGTTTCAGAATATGTATAATTATTCCTATTTCCTCCTCACAGTTTTTAATTTAAAATGCCCGGACGATGTCTCACCAACTATTGCTTAGGATTAAACGTCGTATGAATATTTTAATGCCAATTTCTTTAAAATAAAAACAAAATGCAAACACCCTGTCCCCGTGCCCTATACGTAGGGAACTTGAACGATTGTTTTGATAGCTTGTACTTCACATTATGTTTCCGTAATATTATAAAGTCGTGTATCTTACTTGCTTCTGTTAAAGAAGCCACATTTTTTATTTATTTTAATAACACTATAACCTAATATAGAAAGACATCAGTCTACAATCGTTACTTATACATTTGCACAGTAAACCAAATGCTAAACGTAAAAACGAAGCCAACAATGATTTAGATTTCTCGCACTGCCAACTATATTCTGATTGTACCGTGTACTAACTGAGACACTGTGACATTGTACTGTATGTAGACGTGAGACCACAGAAATCGTAATAATAAGACATTGTCTATTATCACGATTTTTGTGCTTGAGACACTACCAAATCCTACACTTCAAAACGAAGCGAACTGCGATTCCCACCAGAGTAATATTATCGCACTGCAAACTATGAATTTGGTAAAGAAATGAAGAAGAGAAAAGTACAAGAAGGTTGAATTTGACTTTGTCTGCAAAATGAGAAACATTATCCTCTTTATCAGGCAATGTTATGTTTTAAAAGAAGTATGAAATTACGTACTTTCAAAACAGAGTTGAATAAATGTGTTTACGTAACGTTGATGAATTTTAACCTGCAGAGAGAGAGTAGGTAAAATAATAATAAAGATAATGGTTGCAATCAAATTCATTACTTCTTAACTTTTTTGTTATGTTTTCGATTAGAAGATAAGTAAATAAATTTTTATCTTTGATGAAAATTATTCAAGATCTATTATTTGATATTGATTTTATTATATATATATATATATATATATATATATATATATATATATATATATATATATATATATATATATTAGCGTACTATAACACGCAAGTATTATAGTATCCTATGAGTAAGTAGTAGGTACTTACAAAATTTAATTAAACAAAGTAAATTAAAAAAAAACTAGTTTCAGTCAATCTAAATGTTAGGCATTGAAATAAAACAACGTAAGGAAATCTACATGACTGAAAAATAAAATGTATTTAGAAAATCCAAAAGTAAGTAAAAATTAAAATTAAAAGAAATGAAAATAGTAACGATAATTTTTACAAGAAAAAAAGAGAACCTGATCGACTTACACTAATAACTTTTAAACGGTATTACGTTTAATAACAAAAATCCGTAGGAATCCTCCTTAGTATATATGGAATGTTTTATAATACAATATATCTCAATCTATTGCTTACATTTCTATTAAGCGAGAAGACTCGCCGACGCACTCGCCAACGGACGGCATTCCATATATTTTTTTCAATTACATTTTTGTTCGAATCTAAAGTGAATCAATTTGAAAATAAACTAATCTTATAATTTAATGTTTGCGCTTATTCTTACGTTAATAATATCTAATATGGATTTGAGGTTCAGCTAAAAGTATAAGAGCGGTTTTATGCAGCGAAATTGAGGTATGACCACTAATCGAGAGTAGGTACACCCTCACGTTGTGAATCTTGCAATAAATATCTAATACGGCGAACCCTTTCTCGCCATAAAACCTTCTCAAAATGGAGAGGAGTTATGTGCTCAACAGTTAGACGTAGAACCTTCATCTTTTATAGATAAATAGTTTTTAGTAAATAATAATTAGTTATAGCTACGCCGAACATGTGGTGAATTAGCACACAGCAATTGCAATTAACAATTTCATTGTTGCCGGCGGGGATCGAACCCAGATTGTTCGCGTTCTGTAAAATTTATAGCGAGCGTTTAGTCCCTGGACTACTACGGCTCCCTTTAATAAAAATATTGCATTGAATTTCTTAAATATGCCGCTGTGAATCTTTCGCGTTTAATAACGCTAACGAATGTAATTTCTTTAAACACGAATCAATTAGCGTAAGGAGCACGTTGTGAAGCTTCCGAAGGGAAACGGGGATTTAGGTTAAGACGGAGTAGTTTTTTTGGATTTTCTCAATAATGGTGGTATATTTATATCTTATTTTGTACAAAATTCTTGTGATATAAGATATTTTGTTAGAGATATCGTTTTTGTTTGTTTGTATTGTTATTTTAATATTACTCTATTATAAAGAAAGAAAGTACATGTTTATTCGTTGCTTTAGTTACTTAAAAAAACCTCAGTAATCCTAAACCAAACCAAAGCAAAACCTTAATTAACCTTAATTAACAAATACCCTTACATACTATAGATCTATCAAATTAAAAAATAGGTATAATAAAACAGTTGGCATATGCACTCAATATTGGTCTACGTCAGCTTATTTGTGAAATTTAAAAGTATATTATTATCTGAATATTAGAATCTGAAGTAAATGATGTACACCAGCCGTATTCCATTTCACCCTTTGTATAAAAGAGCAGTTCTGAATTATTATGAGCTTGTTATGTGTGCCCCGCTATTGTACAGTCACGTTCATCAAATCGATATTAAAGTACGTTCTTATCGCCACCTAGACGCTTTTATTGATTATGTATTATACTGCTTAAAACGTGTTATCCTGGTTGAAATAATACAATTATCGCAGTAGTTTAATAAAAATGATACCTATCAAAACGAGAATTAGTACACTACTTTTTTTTACGTTACGTTTACTTTAGGTCTTTTTTTGTAGAATGTAGGGGGATAAGTCGCTCGCGTCCGTAGGCTTTGACCACCTAATCCTAGGCCCACCCTACACGTGTCCCCCCGGGTGGTGCTAAATGAGCGACAAGCCGATAGCACAGACTCGGCTCCTCGCCGTGGTAGCGGCGTTAAATATACCACCCCATTCGCACCATGAGGAATCAAATTAAAGAAATGGCCCCGAGTTCCCGGCGCCCCTTTAATGGGGCAGGGGTGCGAAGAATCTCCGGGAGGAAAACCGGCGGCGAGGCTCGCCACCCGTCACGTTCTGTCTCCCGGAGGGGCGAAAAGTGGATTGCAGAGGCCCGTCTAGCTACGTTGAATGTATGTGGAGCAATGAATGATAAAATGGATGAAGTATGCGAGGTGATGTATGATAGAGGAATAGATTTGTTATGTGTAAATGAGACGAAACGGAAGGGGAAGGATGTCACTACACATGGCATGTATACCGCATACTGGTCTGGTGTAGACGAGCTCGAGCGGGCATGCCAGGGAGTAGGGATCATCCTATCAGAAAGAATGGTGCAATGTGTGAAAGAGTATGAATATGTAAGCCCAAGACTGCTATGGATACGATTGAAAGTGGGCTTAAAGAAGTTGTTTGTGCTAGGGGTCTACGCCCCAGACATGTCTAAGCCCACTCATATCCGAGAGCAGTTTTGGGAAATGGTAAGGATGGTATTAATGAAATGTAAGGGAAATGAAAATGTTGTTATGCTAGGAGATTTTAATGGAAGAGTTGGGGTGAGGAGGCTTGGTTATGAAAGGATATTGGGAACGTTTGGTGATGAAAGTATAAATGAGAATGGTGAAAGCCTCCTCACTGTACGTATGGAAAAGAAT